CAGTGTTTAATGTCTCTCAGCAACAAATGCATCTCACATAATGCACACAACACAGTGGGACAGATTTAGTTGTCTTAAAAAGCAACCTCACAAGGGGGCGTTTTTAGATTTATGCACAAAAGTAGAGAAGAGGATGATTACTTCTCTTAATCTACATTTTCTGATGGTGGGCTGTGATGGTGCAAGCCTTGGCACTTTCCTCCACCTTCATTTTTATCCAAATGGGCTTTGGTTAATTGTTTGCCCTTGCAAACGGCAAGCTGCAACTCAGTGGGAGGGCCCCCCCCCCAAATTTCAGCATTTCTACACAGATTTTGGGTGCCAGAGCAAGGTCTCCACTCCGGTGACGAACCAGATGGAAGCAGAAGGAGGACTAGGCATGGCCAGAACATCTCTAGTGCCCATGGACTTTAAAAATAATACCACCCTTATGTTGCTTTAGCAGGTGAGTTGCTCGAATGAGTCTACAGAGGCCACCAGTGCTGTCTACCTACATCGGGGGGAATACCCAGGAACAGATGCCAAAAACTGAACACAAGGACAACTGGGCTCTGCCCCAACACACAGGCATGTGTGCGCACACTCACACACACATGCTGCCAACACCAAAGATAAAACTAACCGGAGCCAAGGGCAAACTAATACACTTTGAACAAATGTCCAAACTGCTCAGGTTCTGAAGAAGAGAAAGTGATTGTAAAGAAGAAAAGAAACAAAACGCCCCAGATCAATTCACAGCCTTAACCCTGTCATGGGACCCAGGATACAGCGAGGCCATTCTGGCCAGACTGGGCAGCAGATTCCCTCTTTCCTTGTTGATCTAGCATTAACTCATAGAAAGAAAGAATCTGAGAGGAAAGATTCAGAGGATCAGCGTTAAAGCCAACTGACATTGACAAAAAATGAGCAAGCTTTGGAATTTCACCAGACTCTTTGTCAGACTTAGTCCAAACAGGGAAAGAGGCGTTGGCGCCCCCCGGCACGCTATCAACTCTGTCAAAAGGGACACTTTTAAAAAGTGATAGGGTTCGGACTCTAGTTAGGACCCCAAGGCCTTGAAGCCCTCAGCTCCACCCCTGCCCCCTCTACTTTGCCCAGCCCTGCTCTCCACTCCCTGTAATTCTCGACCTATTACGAGCTTACCTTTCCTGATCTTCTGTTGTTCTGACATGCCTTGAGAAATGGCTTAGAAATCCAGAATATTCCTTGGGCACTTTTGGTTTCTCAGTGCCACATGAAACGTTTACTAGATTGAGTACTATTTTCTTGACTTGAGCAGTCTTTAAAGATTCTTTAGCAGCTGATCAAGAACTGTAGAGGCCAAAATAATAATAATAATAATAACACACACACACACCCGAAAAAAATGGGGTGGGGAGAGCAGGTGGAAGATCCTCTCCAATCCAAGTAGAATGGACTGGTTTTATTTCTAAAGGCTGAAAAGAAAATCCCTTGTGTGTATTCTGCTTTCTTCGTCCATGTCAAACGCCCAACTGCAGTCCTCAGATTGCTAGATCAAAACAAAAAGCAGATCACAATTGCTTTCACTTTTCTTTCAGCTCGGCTTCCTATCAGTCTTGAGAGAGAGAGAAAAGGATATGCAGATATGGGAAGGGAGAAAGAAAGTTGTTTGATAAAACAGAAGTGTCTATGATGGCTTCCTATCAGTCTTGAGAGAGAGAGAGAGAGAGAGAAAAGGATATGCAGATCTGGGAAGGGAGAAAGAAAGAAGTTGTTTGATAAAACAGAAGTGTCTATGCTGCAATTTGAATCTGGACCCAGAATCTGGACTTTAGAATTTACATTTAATGCTAAAGGACAGGCAGGGCAAACAAACTGATCTTGTCCATGAAAGCTTACATTAAATAGTCTTTAAGGTGCCACATGTTTTTGTCCTTTTTGTTTTATTTTGTTTCTTTGGATTTTGCCTGAATAACTTGATCCCTGTACAGTAATTCATTCCTCATGTGGGCCCAGCAATGGTAATCAGTCATTAGGTTGATTCTGGGCAGTCTTCATCTTTTTGACACCTATCCTTGCCCCAACACGTCCACAAAAAAAGGAATAGTGAGGGCCATAGGGGAGTGGGCTGCATCTCTATAGGAGTAGTTTATCGTATTATTCACTACCATATGCTACAGAATCTGTAACAAAAGGAGTAACTAGATGGGCATTTGTCTAGCTGTTTTGTGTGTTTGGTCCACAGTGGGGATGGGCTGGTTGCTCCTTTTGCTGGTGACCAGACAGCTGAAGTGCCCCTCACCATTCTGGCTGTCAGGCACTACTGGTTTTTAGGTGCAAACGAGATTCTTTCATTTTGGTTCATTTCTGTTGTGTGCGATCGCTGGGATTGAACAAAAGTGGAGTTTGCTGCTTTTAATTTCCCATCCAGTTTCAGTTTTCCAACATTGTCCAGGCAGTATGGAGCAATGTATTCTCGAAGGCTTTACCCCCTTCTACTACTTTTCCCGGCTGGGATCTGATGGTTGTTCTGACTCCTGTCCTCTGAAGATGCCAGCCACAGAGACTGGCGAAACGTTAGGAAGAAAAACCTTAAGAACATGGCCAAACAGTGTGGAAAACCCACAACAGAATGGAGCAACGTACATCAAGGGAACCCCCCCCAAAAAACCCTAATATTATTCTATGTGGTCCTCTGTGCCTTCTGTGGGAAGGAAGGAAGGGGGAGATCAAATGGCCTTTGGGGAAGTGACATATAGAACAGACAAATGATGGGATCTCCCCTTATTCCTTTATTAAGACCCATGTTTTACCACTTCCTGACCCAGCTGCGCCCACTGCCCCGTCCTGGGCCCTTCCCGGTCATGGTGGTTCGGCCTGCAAGTGGTTCCGCTCCTTCTTCCAGGGCCATGCTCAGTCCTTTTCATGGGTGTCTCTCTCCAGCTGGATTCACATGATTCTTCCACACACCGCTCAATCTTCAGAGTCACCAGACCTAGCACTGACACCTCCAGCACCTTTTCTGCACCAGGGTGGGTCAGTCCTCCTCCTGGGCAATGGCTCAAACGTAATCCAGTACTGGCTGTGGGGCCCAATACCAGGGGATATCAGCAAAGACACAGTCCACTTCCTACAAGGCCTCATCCGGTATGCCCAGTTCAACCTCCCCATCTCCCGGATCGTCTCTCAACACCACTGTCTTCCTCCCCTCCCCCAGGGTCTTCCTGTCATTTATATCCACAGCCCCTCCTCCTCAAGCTCCTCCCCCTCTCCTGACCCCTTCACGTGTCTATTATGTATCACTCCCAACACTTCCACATACCCCTCAAGCCTGGTGGGCGGCCCCTCTCTTTTTGGGCTCTCCACCCTGATGCCCCCTGTCAACTGAGCCTTCCTTCCACAGTGTGGCCCTCCCTGCCAGCCCCTCTCCACTCGAGCTGGCCATGTGGGAGTGTCAATAACTGTGGCTCGCGTGGCTTGCCAGTAGATGCCACGGGAGTGGGGTGGGGGTAGCCTGGGCAACTCTGTCCGCCGTGTCACAGACCAAGAAGGGGCTTCCCTCCTGAATGCCTCTCCAGGCCTCCGACTGATTAGCGAGGAAAGACCAAAGCGCACTAATTTCCATATGTTAAAATCAATCACAGGGGCAGTTGATTAGGAATTTCGGGAGAAGACAAATGCTTCTCCTTTTGCCTCATCCTTGACAGGGCAGGTATGTAACAAGAAGGTGTAACTTCCCAATTCCACCCTTAACATTGCCAGATAGTAACAGGAAGTCCTTCTGTGTGAAATGCTGGAGATTTGCAGCGCAGATACTGTTGCCTGTGATACAGCCAGTGTAGACAATACCGGACCAGGTGGACAAGCAGTCAAACTTCTGGTGGAGGCAGCTTCCTGTGTTCCTAGTGTTAAATAGAGATAAAAATGCTGACGCAGAATGTTTTTTCCTTGCAGCCAAGGAAATAAGTTCAGCTGTACAGATTGACTGTCTATGGTTTCTGCACAGTCTCTTGGATGCAAATATTAGACAAATCAATTAGACACTGATGTTGTCCATGATCAGTAACGTAACAGAGCCAGGACTCACAAGGACAAAATGCCAGGACCATTTGATTAGTAGGAACAATGGCATCATGTCATTTGCTCCCTTCTTAGCTGTAATGGCAGGAGTGGGAGTGTAATTTTCTGAACAGCAAGATATTGTAAGTTCTGTCTGTTGTAATGCAAAGTGTTTTGAATTAGCATGGTTCTCAAATGGTTAGTTAAGACCCATTAGCTTTACAAAAGACCTGCTCCAATGAAAACTGCTAGTTCTGGTTTGCTCATTTGGTAGAATATTGCTGGCCCGCATATTTGGAGTCTCCTTAGAGACCTGGCCATAGCAGGCTCTCCTAATGAGTGCTTGCGCCTCAAAAGTTGGCACTATGCCATTGCGTACAATTGTTCTTACAAACAGATGTATGCATGGTACGTCTATCAATGGCTGTTAATCACAATAGCTGATTGGAGTTTTCCAATGTAGAGACATCCTGAGTACTTACATGCTGGACAAAGGTAAGGTTAACAGACTGTTATCTTCATCGGCAGTTTGAGAGCTTAGCAGAAGCACCCTACCGGCTTCTTCTGAAAACTGAACGCTGGCCATTTGGTGGCTTTTCTCCTGGCCTTCTGTTAGCTCAACCCAGAATACTGTACAGAAGTCTCCCCAAAACTTCAAAAATTGAGAATTTAACAGGAAAAGAAAGGGAAAAAACTAAAATTTAAAATATCTAGACTCTTGATATATTACTAGAATTAAAATAGTAGTCAGGCTTGCATGGAATGCTAAGTTAGGTTGCAGAGTTGTTAAATTATTATTTTTTATTGCATCTGAAACTGTCCTAGGAAACAATCCAGCCAAAGGCCATAGTTTGATGCTATGGTTTGCGATTTGCTTATATACTCTTGCTTGTTATGTCTGAAGCCTGAGCCATAGTTGACAGAAGGGGCAAAAGAGAAGCAGACTAGGAATTGGGAAAACAAACTGGGCTGAGGACAAGTCCTACTATGAGATGGAGCAAAGCAGTCATTTCAGGAAGTGAAATATCAGAAGTGACAATTTCACAAGATTGCTCACCTCTGCTGTGTGTAGGAAGGCCTGCTCTCTCCAGAGCAAGTTGCTTCTTGAATGTCTGGGTCACAGATGTCCTTAGAGTTAAAACACTGTGGCGCAAATTATATTCTTGGCCACCCTTCCCATGATGCTTCCTAAGGTCCATTCAGAATCAGGCATTAGGGAAAAAAAATCATCTTTGGGCAGAGCTAGTTGGAGGGCGGGCTGGGGATGCTAACTCCTCTTCCTTTGACCAGGGGAGTCTAATGGTGCTTCCTTCTTCCCTGGTGGTGGCACTGCTGACACTTGTGCAGATGGTGTGTGTGGTAGATACCCCCTGCTGCAGCACAATGAGCTGGGCAGCACTTCACTACCCCTTGTCTGGTGGTGGGAGAGTTTGATGCCTCCACCCCCCCCACCCCCTGTGGTGCTGAGCTTGCTAACAGAGCTCTGTATGACTGCTAACTCTGTGCAGAGGATTATCAGGGTGGAAAAGAGCAAGGGCCTTCATCTGATACTTGTGGGATTCCCATAGGGATCTGGTAGGCTATTATGGAAGTGTGGATAGGGTATTGACCTGATTCAGTGTGGTTATGAAGTCAGGAAAGGACTACCGCCTAAGGCTGGGGCTGGGCAACTGGTGGTCATCCAGATGTTGAATTGCAACTTCCACTGATATACAGGCACCAAAAACAATGGCACGGGGTAATGGAAGTTGCAATTCTTTGAGGGTCAGATGTTGACTGCCTATACATTAAGGCCTGTACTATGGCAGCCAAAATATCGCTATTTCCCCTTTTCCCAGTGTACTGTGTAGGCCAGCCCCTACCCATCCATCAAAACACTGCAGGACAGAGAATAAAGAACACAGTCCTATGTACAGCTGCTTCCTATTTACCACTGTAAGCTTCTGTGAACTCAAAATTAAGCATGCATCACATTATCCTTTTATAAAGTAGAATTCCCTGAACCTTATCCAGTCTATTATAGCTAGGGTCACTTGAAGCAGCACTTCAACTGAGAAGCAAATGCCTGCAAAATAAGTCATAGCTGAAGCCACAATTTCTCCTCCCACAGACAAAATTAGAGCAAGTGTGGAATTAAGTGCTGGCCTTTCTGCAATCAGAAGAAAAGAGCTGGATAGAAGCTGCATTCTGCATTTCTTCCCACTGAAACTGGGCAATGGCACATAACATCACAATGAAGACAATACTAATGAGCCCACAGGAATTAAAAACATGGGTGTGTTATTAAACAAAACATTGAGATAAGTTGAGAATTCCTACAGATGGGAAAGGGAACTGCATGGTGATTATGAAAAAAACTACACCGTGATCATTAGAAAAAACACATATTTGGAGTGCTTAGGAAGCATCCAGTAGCTCCCTGTGTCTCTCAAAGCTAGTAGAATCCCACCACTTTCCACTGCAGCCCAGCTGATGGTGCCCTTAATTGTCTAAGAAGGGATTCCCAAACTTAGCATCCCAAATGTAATTAAGACTGCAGTTTGCAGAAG